CTAAAGGTTAGGGACTAATTACACAAAATTTTCATTTAAAAATATATTTTATTATGCTGTGAAAGATTTTTTGAATTCTTGGACAACTTATTCGATTAATGAACCAATTCGAGATTGCATTGCATTGCATCGCATTGTATTCTTAATAAATATTTGAGTATTTCTTGAAGAAGTCGTGTTTGGGGGAGAGGAAAAGATAACTGGTCTTTCTTCACATTTTTTTTTTTGGATAAAATCCAGTAATTCAAAGCTTTCTTGGTTTTAAGTTGTTCTTTCTCATTTATTCTTCATTCAAAAAAAAAAAAGAATGAGTGGAAGTTGAGAAACTGTTGTTTTTTCGTCTTCACAATCTAAAAATCCTTGGAACTTAGATGATGTTTTTACAGTGTTTGTTTTGATGGAAGAAGGTGTCCGCTTGTAGAGGTATTGGATTTTTGTTGTTTATTTTTTCCGTGAAAACTCGACAAACTCAACCACTGCATCGAGCTAGTGGAGCAACTCAACTATTGGCTATTAATTCAAGTTGATCCTTAAACCAGCTCGTGAGAACTCAACAAACCCGACCATTGCATCAAGCTAGATGAGCAACTCAACTATTGGCTATTAATTCAAGTTGATCCTTAAACCAACTCAACCTCGGAGTCAAGTAAGTTAAATTTACAAATAAAAATGGCAAAACATGTTAGTTATTTTCGTAAGGTTAAATTGAATATTCAACTTATCAAAAGGGCATTGTAAACAAGAAGTTGTTAAAAGGTGATCCTTTTTATTTTTACGACATCGATGGGTACGTTAGGGATTGTTTTGTTAGTGGTGGGGTAAGATCACTCTGGACGATGCATTTGTGCATTCTTCTCATCCTATGGTGTGTCTTAAACTCGAGATTGAGATACAGTCCCTTCTTGATGGGATTCTTATTGCGCATCAACTTGGTCTATTGGGTTTATGGATACATACGGATTCTTCTACTGCAGTTTATTGCGTCATACTTGAAGAAGGTCCATAGTCTATCCGAGTTACCCTAGATAAGTTACTCCTTCGACTGTGATACTATGAGTGAAATTATGTAGCTAACTTACTAGCTTCCCCGAGACTTTGCTCCTAGTACAAATTAACGGATATGAGCTTTTTATGTTTAGGAACTTTTAGACTTTTTTATTTCTTTTTTCAAATCTATATAATAAATAGTACTTCCTCATTTTCTATTTTTAGTTTTTATTCATTCGGTTGGAGGTTAGGTATATTTCACCCTCCATCGTATTCATTTATTTTATTTGTATCATAGTGGGGAAATTCGAACCCACTTTTATCCCGTCATGGTGCCTAAAAAACGGATCGAAAATGTGAGGGTGCTTTATTAAAGCAACTAGATACTTCAAGTAAAGCCAGTATTACAGAAAATTCTCATGATGATAGAGAACTTTTGATTATTTCTGATGGCAATTCCAAATTAGACGAGGATTGAATTGTTGATACACCTTGCACTTTTCATATGTGTCCCAATCATGATTTATTTTCTACATATGAAACAGTTTCAAAAAGTGTTGTGATAATGAGAAATAATACACCCTATAGGATAGCTGATATTGGAAGGGTCATAATTAAAATGTTTGATTGAATTGTTAGAACACTTGATGTTGTGAGATATGTTCTAGATTTGAAGAGAAATCTTATCTTCTTGAGTACTATTGACTTGAAAGGGTACAAATATATCGGTGAAGGTGGAATCCTGAAATTTAGTAAAGGTGTCTACGTTCTGATGAAGGGACATAGATGGTCCCAATTCTATGTCTTGCATGGTTCTATGGAATCTTTAAAGATTGATTAGCAAAATTTAGGCATTTAGGTGGATTTTAAGTTTGGTTCAGTACCGTTTGAGTTTAGTTTGGGGTTTACATTGAAGAATACATTTCAGTCAAGTTCAGAAGTTATGGATAATTCCTTTTTTCCACCATTACCAGCAGAGACATTGTATTAAATTACTAAAGACAAACCCATGAGAAATATTAGGTCTCCACATAAGTATGGAGATGCTGATTTAGTTACTTTTGCTTTGAATGTGGTTGAAAGTATTGATTATAACCAAGAACCTTCTATTAAAGTAGTTAGGTATATTGATTCCGTTACAGGGCTTTCTTGTTCTGTTTAGTGATTATTAAAACATTTGTGACTTCTGTTTCTTATGAAGATAATTTGAGCAACTTTGGTGTTCAAGGTAATCTTGCTGAGTTGTGCTTGAAATTCAATTAACACTTAATTATTCAGTTTGCCCTAATTGGATTTTGTGGTAGAGGTGAATAATTTTTTCAGTTGGAAATTTTGATGGAGAATTTTGTTCGGTGTTTTTATTGAATAGTTAATTCTTATTCTTTGCAGTAGAATTTGTCTTCAGGTGGATAATCTTTGAAATTTTGTTCATTGCAGTGGAATTCATGTCAAAGTGGAGTTTGTTAGAATTAGAGTATGACCTGAATTCTATTTGAAATGATATTTGGGAATCCTATTCGTAATCTATTCGGTAATTCTAGTTGGAATTCAATTTGGGAGTTCAATTGGAAATTTGAAATTTGTGTTGGACTTAAAGATATCAAGATATAGACAAAGGAGAGATTTTCGATCCATTCTCGCTCGCTGAGTGCCTAATTCCCCTTTAGAGCTCAAAGCAGGGAAGGTTAGTGCTCACTTAGCGCTGAGCCAACCTGCCGCTCGAGTAGCGGAGTCATCGCTTGCCTCGTGCTAGAGCGGTGGTTCGTCCGACCTAAGGCCCGTTTCGCGTTTTAACGTGTTTTCAGCATTTTTTTTCTATGTATAATTCTATTTCTAAGGTTTAAGCGTTCTCTATATATAGTTTGCTTTTCATTGTGATTTAGTCAAGTGAGACAATATTGTAAATACAATATCTTTGTATTCTCTCTCCATATTTTAGTTAATTTTCCTTTCCTCTGCCAAATATTTTTTTCCTTGTGCATTTGTGATATTTACTTCATATTGAGCCACATATATTTATCCTCATATCACAACATTTTGCACATTTCGAAGAAACAATCCCAACAAACTCATCAAATCAAAAACTTATATAAATATTCCGAATGATCGAAAGCTAATCTTCCAAATACAATTTATACCTGCAATATAACTATATATTTACCCATTTCTTCCATTTTTTTAAAAAAATTCATTTTTTTTCTTAAATTCATTTCCAATCACATATTCTCTCTATAAAATAATGTTGCACGTGAATTCATAATTTTTCTACCATTTAATCACACATTTTATAAAAAAATCACTTTTTTCGCAAATTATATTTTTAAAAAATCTTTGTCAAACATGGCTCAATATTAACCTGACATCTAAAATTACCATTTTAACAAGACTTAAAAGAATTCTAGATATAATGTACAACACACATTGATTAGGACTAGTTCTAAATAAAAATGTGATCGATGACATGCATCTTTTCTTGTCGTTTTGTTTTATTCATTATTAGATATATGCTAGGAGGAATAAAGCAATTAATTCATTAGCAACTATAAATCATATTAAATTTAGTCTACTCATCTGCATTTAAATTAATTTTACCGAAATGACATCATTCTTATGAACAATGGCCTTTTAAAGTTGACGTGAAACATGACCAACCACCTCGTCCTTCTTCCCTTAATTTATCATTAATGGGTGACACTTCATGCTGTTACCATATACTTTATTTCTTATATAGTAGAGGTGTCAAGACGGACGGACCGGCCAAACCAGTGAAAACTGACCCAGATCGACCCGGGACGGCGGACCGACCCATGACCCGAGCGGGTGGTTCACCGGTCAAGGAGGTGTGACCCGTGGGTTTTGCGGGTTGCACCGGGCCGTGGTTAACCCGCTAACCCGTGAAAAAAAATTGAAAAAAGGGGGAGGGGCGGGGGGAGAGTCAACTTAGTTGGGATGTACTTAAACTATAAATTATAATAAAAGTAGGTGCCAACCTAATTGTGATGTACTTATACTATAAATATTTGATAATAGTAATTAGAAATGCATTTAGTTGTTATTTGTTTAAGTTAAATTTAACTTTGCAAAATTATAAATAATTTTTTTTTTATTTTTAGTTATAAATAATTGATATATTTGCAAAGTTATAAATAATTCATGTAACGTTAAATTTGAATTCTATGTAAAAATTTCTTGATATAATTATGAATATATTTCAATTCTTAGTAAACATTTAACAAAAAAAAAATATTTTTTGCTATAAATATGAAAAATTCTATATTTTTATAATTTTATTTATACAATAATACGAGTCAAATCGGAACAAACCATGACTCGCTCGACCCTTGACCCGCATGGGTCAGCGGGCGGGCTTGGGTTGTAGTCCAAAATTTCTGGGCCGATCCTGAACCCGTAACGGGCGGATTTTTTTTTCACACTGGCCGTTATCGGGCTCATAGATTGGTAGGCCGACCGGCCGAGACCATCCGGATTGACACCTCTATATTTTAGTATGCTGGCACATCCATGATAGTATCCTCACTACATTCGCCTACCCATTGTTCTATAGAACTTCCTTTTAATCCTAATGGAAGTTTTCTACACTAAAAATTCTTGTAGCACTTCATCAATACTTCCAATCCGCTCTAGTAACGTTCTTAGCATTTGTTTGACAACCATTATTTGAATAAATTGGAGTTTTGAATTGTAATTTTTTTAAAAATGTGTGCATCACATCTTCAATAACTCATTCCTCGGTAATAATCGAACTTAAATAATTGAAGCTATCACTTTATGGAACTAATACTCTATAGTAATTACATTATTATTCTAAATCAAAACTATCCGGAAGCAGGGTTGAAAATGAATACACAACTGGAAAAAATAATTAATACAACTAAGGTTGAATACACACCAATCTAATACACGTATCACCATCAGATTATTTAAAGTTCGAATTTATACTAACAGAGGAATAATATACTTATGACAAATATTAGACTTTCGATAGTACTGCACTAATTTGTTGATGTGATGCTCTTGGAATGAGAGGAAGCCCGTAAAGCATCGCTTTTTGTTTGGGAACTCTGGCCCGAGGAGGAATCAGTGAAGAACATTATCTGTTCCTGACTCTCGACGAACAATTTGAGAGATCGCGGGATTGGAGGCAAGTTTACATCCATGACGCCTTCAAGAATCTGAACAACATGACCCATTGATGGCCTAATATTTTCCTCGTCCTGTATGCACCAACAAGCAACTTTACATATTTTCGCTACCTCTTCTGCATCAGCGTTTCCATCCAATGCAGAATCTAATAGGCCAAGAATGTCGCCACCCTCTGCTATCACACTTGCAGCAAAAGATGGGAAGAATTTCACCATCCCCTCTTTGGATTGCTCAGAGTTTCGCCTCCCAGATATGAATTCAAAGAGCATCATGCCAAAACTGTAAACATCGGCTTTTGCTGTGATTGCAACTCCGGATATCCATTCGGGTGCAAGATAACCTCTTGTTCCTCTTAAGGTTGTCAGAACCCGACTGAAATCGCGCCCCACCAGCTTTGCTAAACCAAAATCTGCAACTTTAGGACAGAATTCAGCATCTAAAAGAATGTTTTCTGGCTTTATATCACAGTGAATAATGCAGTCCCGGCACTTCTCGTGGAGATAGCTCAACCCTCTAGCTATTCCCAACATAATTTGGTACCTTGTTTGCCAGTCCAAAATCTCAGACTCCTCGACATTGAAAAGATGTGAATCCAAGGAACCATTTTCCATGTACTCATAAACCAATAACTTCCTATCACCTTCAGAACAAAATCCATGAAGCCGTACAAGATTAACATGCTGAATTGTCCCAATCGTGCTTACTTCAGTCCGAAATTGCTTCTCTCCTTGGCTGATACTCTCAAGCTTCTTGACAGCAATGACAGTTGAATCAGGCAATATCCCTTTGAAAACAGAACCAAAACCTCCTCCCCCCAACTTATCCGAGAAATTTTTGGTTGCAATTTGCAAGTCCTTGTACCCAAATGCTACCAATGAACCCTCGACGGCTTTTGTAGCTCCAAGTCTACGCCTTTGTCGTCTCCAGATCACGACCCCAACAATTGCCAAGAGACCAATAAAAACAACAACAGAACCCACAACAGCACCTATGGCAACCCCTTCATTCTTCTTCTTGCTCGATAACTGAGGAGCAGAGGCAGCAAGCCGAACATTGATAGTTCTCCCACTGCCATCATTTTCCGAGAGTTGTTGCAAATTCATTATTTCCCCAATCCAAACCAAACATGCATTGCCATCGTAAGAATAACCTGTACAAGAGCAATTATTCAAGCAGACAGATTCACATTCTCCAGCACTCCCTGCTATAACGGTTTGAGGATTTACAGGTAAACTGACTTGGGGATTCTGCAAAAACTTGTCTTTCCTACCCGATGAAGTACTACCATTCCCACACTGCAGCAAATCGATCTCTCTTACACAGCCACCGGAATAATCCGTCAAATTCCAATCATTTTCCAACTTGGGTTTAAATCCTGGCAAACAATTACAGAAGGGCAATGAATTCTGATTGCAGGTACCAAATGCCCCACAATAAGCATACACCTCACATTGCTGCCTAGGTTGAGACCAAAACAAATTCCACTCCTTCGTACTCTCAGACCATGATGTCTGCTTAATTTGACCCGAAACATCCATCACAAATCTCGATATAATCGAAGGATTATAAAGAGAATAAGTGAAATAAGTCTCGTTACTATTATCTACATAACTAAAATTATAAATATAATTCAGCCTCATTTCAGGGACTAAACTGAAAATATGCCCATTCCAAGCTCCACTAGTCCAGTACTGTTCTGTCCTATTCCATCTTATAATATACTGACTCCCATTTGGATCTAATTCGAGGGAGAAAAGCCCAGGTGCCGGATTCTCAGAATTTCTCCAAGAAATGAGGAGCTGCTTTTTATTCGTACGTTTGTCATAAGAAATTTTGCCCCCAGGCAACCATGTATCAGCAGGATGATCAAAACTTTGCCAAAATCCTTCACTCGTCCTAGGTTCTGACTCGTCTCTCAAAACTAAATTCCCATCATCATTTAGGGTTGCCACTACAGAATTTGAGGTTGTCGAACTTATATTAGTGGACCAAATCAGATCCTTGGATTTTTCCACAAGCACCATATTCCCATCTAAAATTTTTAGTTCTGCAGAATTAATGTCTGAAATCGGTTTCTCCCTATTTGCTACCCATACTATGGTCTGTTGACTAACATTTTTGTACCATATTCCAACATAATAATTGGCAGAATTACCTCGTGTGAAGAATCCCAGTTCAAAAGTCCCTCCAGCAGAGACAATTGTCTGCTTTAAAACACCAGACAAAGATTGGTTTGCCGTGATGCTGTCAGCTCCTTCGGAGAGATTAAGGTTTATAGAGAAGCATAGGAAAAACAACACGCAGAACATCAAACAAGAAGTGTTTTTTGTGATCATGGCTGAAACAAGATGTTCCTAGAGAGAGAAAGAGGAGCGAGAAAGGATGAGCGTTTTGTCTTCTCCTTCGAAATGGATCTGTTAAAAATGCAGCAGAATTCATGACCGAAGAAGCTGAATGAAGATTTGTCCGTTTTTAGTCCAGTCCACTCATTCACATTGAATTACCATTGTGCCCTCCGAAAATGACAGCTGACCAAACCAAATATTTATATGATAAATAATTATTTTGTACCAAACCATTTTTGTGCAACAATATTCTTCGTTTCTTGATTAATATCGATTTAGAGACAA